CATCTGCTTGGAAGAATGCACCCCAGAAACAACAGTAATGACGAAGGAGTGTCACCACATATTTCATAAAGACTGCCTGCAGCACTGGCTTCAGGTGAACAGTACCTGTCCCCTGTGTCGGCAAAGCCTTGCCAGGCACAATTAGGACTGCAAGGTAAATGTGTCAATGTCATACAACTGTCTTTTAAGCCACTTTAAGCGCCGGAGCGCAACTATTCTCACGAGCTTTTGCTTTCTGCGTCGGCTGGGTTTCCCAGCGTGACTGGCGGTAGTTTGCGTCATCCCTGCAAATCCTGACTCGTCCACATGCGCTTCTGCAGAGTGATCCTGCCATTACCCAGAGCTTGTGGGGGGGGGGGGGGGGCCCGAAGCCCTAAGTCCTCCAAAACAAGATCACCAGAACATCACCCCGCCGATGAGCATGAGGTCAGGACCTCTTGGGCGCTGGGAGCTGGCTCAAGGAGCATTCCCATCACGTAACGCGTGTAAGTCCTAGGCTCCCCCTTGTCCAGGGAAATCATCTTTCCCTCAATTTTTGATGCAGCCAGAAGACCTTCCTGAAGGGTTTCCTCAGGGTTTCCGCTGGCAGGGACCCTGGTGGTAGCATGCCATGGATACAGGCATTCTGTGCATACCGAGACAGCAAGGGGTATCACCATGTTCCGGCATCGCGCGGACGGCGGAGAACTGCTAACCCAGCCTCTAGACCCATCCTAACCCCTGCACCAGGCGCAGCACATGTGACATTGCAGAATCATTGCCATGTCGGCTGAGCAAGCGCTGCTAATTGTGGAGACCTCGGCATAGAATTTGCAAAACTTGGGGCCAGTTCTGCTGCTTCTGCACATGTGATGAATCTCCATCAGCTCCAATCTCATGGTCTCTCGAAGTCTTCGACAATCAATGCCTCGTCCCAGATCAGGCATAAAGGAACGAAGCGCACGCGTTGCATCGAACGGAGGGGGGATTGGGGCCGTGAACAAAAAAGGGTTGTGTTGGAACAATGACGAATCATTTTGGAGGCCCTCCGATTTGAGATCATCGCCACTGCGGGAGCACGTAGGGTTTCAAGATGTTCCATGATCGGAGTGGCGATGCAAAGCCTAGACTGCCTAGACTGAACTTGCACAGAGCCGTTCGCAAACGCAGGGCAGGCTAGCGGCTAGTGCCACCTGCTGTTGAAACAAGAATGACTGGTGCTGTCTGTGACGTCAGGTTCGTGGCATCACGCGAGCTGCGGAAGGAAACGAGGATGGCACCGCAGAGACCAGAGAAAAGCTGCGGGTGGCTGCAGGCCCGCTGCGCTCCTTGCCGCCCAGTTGAGTTCACCAGCAAGGACATACCATGGGCGCACAGGTAAGGTGTGTAACTCGTTGATGTTCTTCATCGAGCACCCAGACAACAGAGTCCAGAGTCACTGCGCCAGCAGCCGAGCTGGGTCGCAACTAGCTTTACTTTACCGGTTGTTCACCCCTGGCAGCTTGCAAGGCAAACACCCTCAAAAAGTGCTACGAGAGCATGGCGCTTAGCGTGCGTGTTGCCACTTTCATCAGCAGATGATGCACCTTCGAAGCCATGATCTTCAGGATACCCATGTTCTATCAGCGATGAAAACATGGTCTTAGTCAGGCGACCGGAACGAAGAGTGCCAGCTGAGCATAGCATCTCAAGAGATTGCGGCCTGTCATCCCTGAGCGTTTCGAGGCGAGCATATCAGAATTGCATCAAGACCGCCGAGGAAAACACATTACGGGGTGAGAATGAGGCCTGCCGTGTCTCGACCGTCTCAGTGCCAGTGCAAGTCACATCGTGTGAACATGGCAGACGGCCTTGAAGTTGTTCGCGTGGATTGTCAGTCGCGCCGATGGTGCGGACTTTGCAAGGACGCAGAACCCGTGCTTGAGGGCGGGGCTTCGTTGCAGATGCGTCTGACCGAGGGCCCAGGATCTGGAGGAGCCCGGGGTTGGTGCCAAGGAGACGCGGAGGGTTTCAAAACGACCCAGCCTCCCTTTCTTTGGACTCTCGTCTCAGGATCAAGGAGGCCAAGTGGCCGTCAAGGCTGGAGCAGATGTGGAGCCTGCATTTGCCTGCTGTATTGTGGAAAGAAGGCTTCAAGCCAGAAAGACGATGAGCAGCTCAGATCAGCTGTGCTAGCGGAGGTGGGTCCCGGCCCTGTAGGTCTGGAGACTTCCTTGCCTCGGTGGCTTGGCTGGAGCCTAGTCAGGTGATCAAGCTTCCACAGGTTGTCAGCGTCACCTTTGAGGCCACCCGATTAAAGGTGTTCCTGATCATATCGTCGAAGGGCTCAGCATGGAAAAGCCTTGGCAGGCAGATTTCGTCGTTGTATCAACGAAGACATTGGCAGATTCAAGAAATGCAAACTTTCTGGCTGACCTGCTGCCTGGATGCAAACATTTTGCCAAAAGTCCCAAGCCCTGCCTGCTTTGTTGTTCGAGGCTTCGCACGATGATGGAGCAGGCCGGAGCAACGTCCTGTTCTGAAGTCTGAGAAGTGTGCGCCTGGAAGCAAGATCCTGTGCAGGGAGCACATGAGGTGAGTTTGGTGAATCCGCATACTCGCGTGCCCCTCAGTGGCTTCAGATCTCGCAGCGGGCTGAATCAGCCGGCTAGATGTTCATGAGCAAGCAGCAAAATTGCATGCCAGGTGGTGCTGGAGGAGGGCTCAGTTGTACTTGCCTGCAGCAAGAAGATCTAATGAAACGTGGTCGCGAGCTCCAGCTGTTGAACTATTCTAGAACCCTACAGATATACATATATATATATATGTATATGTACATAGATACAGATATACAGGACCTGTCGGTAATCAAAACGGCATAGCAGTTGATCGTCGCAGACAGCCCCCTGTCAAGCCATGGCAGCCGCCAGAAACCAAACACCACAGACAAGAGACAGCAATTCCGGGCCTTTGGCTGCTTGTGGGGACTGCCCACTAGCTGTCATGTAGCTGCCTTAACTCGGTAAGACCCGGACTCTTGCGAGCCATGGGGGGGGGGGGGGGG